CTCCTGGTTCTAGGCGTAGGTTTCTAGTTCCAGGCTCTTGTTTCCAGGTTCTAGGATCTAGGTTTCTGGTTCCAGACTCTAGGTTTCTGGTTCTAGGCTTTAGGTTCCTTGTTCCAGGTTCTGGGTTCTAGGTTTCTGGTTCCAGGTTCCGGGCTCTAAGTTCCTGGTTCCTGAAACTAGGTTCCTGGTTCCAGGATCTAGATTTCTGGTTCCAGGATCTAGATTTCTGGTTTCAGGCTCTAGGTTTTGGGTTCCAGGTTCTAGGTTTTAGATTCCAGGTTCCACTTTCAGGATTCTGTTCCTAAGATTTAAGTCTCCAGTCCACGATTCAAATCTGCTCTATGGCGTAGCTGATATATGCAGTCTTGAAGGATAATTGAATTGTCAGATTTAACAAGTACACATAATGCACAGGCAGAAATAATTTCATATTATATACGCTTACATACGCAAACTAGTCTTGCCAAATTATATACGCTTACATACGCAAACTAGTCTTGCCAAATTATATACGCTTACATACGCAAACTAGTCTTGCCAAATTTCAACTAATCAAAATTCTGCACCATTTCAGTCAGATCAAGTCATGAAACAGTGAAACCAGAAAACGGTGAATAGGAAGACTATTGAATTCAAGTTATGACTTCAATTAGTCCAATGAACATGAAACGTAACAACTTTTCTGTGTACACACTACACAGTACACACTACACAGACCCATTTCATTTCAAAAATAGATTTTCGGTTAACTGGTCAAATTATTTTCTTCTCTATAACAGCCTCAAAAACAAATTACTATTACAAAATTGTATGTATTCTCACTGTTTATATAACAAAAACTTGGTCATTGAAGTAAAAATAAAAAGTAAATCCGCAGAATAATTAAAGAAAATGAAAAATCAAATATGAACCAAAATGTTGACAAGAAAGTATGTTTTGAAAGTTGAAACTAACAAGTTAATAATGAAAATGTCAAGAAAAGGTGTACCCTGGTTGTCTTCGGAAACAAGTTTTAAAACGTTTTGTGGATAAATGTTTAATAATGAAAGTTTATGCAATACAGAAGCGACAAAATAAATGAAAAAAGGAACTTCGAGTCCTTGCCACAAATTCTAATGTTTAATCCATTTATCGAAACCCAATGTCAGACCATAGATATTTAAAAGTATAATTTCGGTTAGGTAAAATAATTAAAGTTTGAAATGTTAAAGGTTTACATCATCAGGTTGCAAAGATTTAGGGATTAGAAAAGACTCATTTTCTTTCCAATGCTTGCAAAGCTAAGTTTGTATCTCTATTAATTTGGTATTTTTTACTTTCCTGAAACGTCGCATTTATTTTTTTTTTAAGTGTCAAAATTATTTATATAAAGATTTTATTTTCATTGGAAATTTTAGTCTTCCAGGAGTGGTAAGAATGGTAAAAACTTCAAAATATATATAACTGAAACTTGTAAATTTAACCATTATACATAATACTTTGAACCGAAATCATTAAGTACGGGATTTTTTCGATAAAAAAACTGATAAAATGGAAAGCAGAAAGAAAGAAGAACACGTGGAAATAAAGTAAAATTTACGTTACTCTGAGATCTTACATTCATCCTCTTCTAGAAGAGAGATTTTTAGAAAATGAAAAAGTTTTGAGTTTCTAATATTCTACGAAATAAACTTGCTTCCCAAGGAGAAGCTACAAAGTCACAAAGAAATTGCGTATAAATTTGACCTTTTTAAGTGGGCCTTTCTCTTATTTTATATTTTCTACAGTGATGACCAGAAAACAATGAAATAGGAAAACAAAATTACTGAAATACGTGAGTGTATTTGATGTTACAAAACGAATAGTTTTACTAGATAATTATTAAATTATTAATTTAGTGAACTCGGTCTGTTTACACTGCACAATTGCTGTGTTTCATGCTCATTGGACTTTTTAAAGTTTTTCAGAGTTTTCTGGTTATAATCGTATGTCGGCCTATAGAACTTGCCAAAAAATATTTTATATTTGATCTAATTTTCCTCCTCACGAAACCTCTTTACATATATATATATATATAGTCAATGCTCTACATAGCCTATAGTTTGCTGGTTGCAAGTTAGAAAAAAACTGAGTTTTTGTCACAAACTCTACTTTTCTGATCTCTATATCTTTGCTACCCAATGTCGTAGACCTTTGATATTTCAAACTATGAATTCTGTTAAACCAAATATTCTAAGTTTGAAATATCAAGGGTTTACATCATCAGATTGTAAAGATATAGGGATTAGACAATTTGTGTTTGCGACAAAAACTCAATTCCTTTGTAGTCTATTCGTTATTTGTTATTGATATTAACTCAATGCTATTAATGTAACGCTACGCAACGTTTCCATCCAAGTAACAGTTCGTTTTAACAAATAACGAATCATTCCGTTTGTTTTATAATCTTCCGCAAGCTAGCGGAACTGCTAAGCCCTGTACTTGAACTTGTGTATTAAATATACTAATGTATATTGTACACTAAACAGTTTCGTTATTCTGTGTATACAGTCTTCAAATGATTATCTTATTCCTTAACGGGACTTCTTCTATACTTTATACAGATAAAACATACTACAGCAAAACATTTAAACACTTAGTCCTGAAAGAATAACCACCCTACTTCTTACATATTTGCAAAATAAGCAGTCAGTGAAGAGTCATCCTTAATTCCTATTTATGTTTTTTTAATATATACTTGTTCTGCTTATTTTTGGAAAACTCGGAACAGTTAATCAGGGATTCTGAGAAATTTGAAATTTTGCGCGCCATTTAATGAGTGAACTCTCATTGGTCCGATGCTGGCAGGGCGAGAAATAAAGAGAAAAAGAGCGGATCAAGCATGAAATAAAAAATGTTGCACATTGGATATTCAGATCTGAATTCAAGGTATTAAATTCTAAGGTTCCCGGCTCTGTACATCTCAAAAACAAAAATTGTGTGACTTTGAAATGTTTAGTTCAAAATTAGCGTGCACGCATAATGAGTAACTTCTACAGGTTTAGAAAATCAAAATCGAATCAAATAAAAAGTCTTTTTGTGCATAGAAAATATATTGTACAGCAAATGTGGCTACCATGAAATAATATCATAACTTGAACAAGATGATAAATTGTCTCTGAAAAGATTCATTATTTAGGCTTTAATTGGAATAATTTACATTTTTTCCAAGTACTTATAAAGTCAATTCAATACTTCATGTCAGATTCAAATAGTACTCTTGAACCATTATCTGCCTAACAATAAAGAAGATTCATCCAATCTTGATCAAGCTAAGGTTTAAAGGGTACCGAAAGGAGACTCACTTGATTTTACCTCGACAGTCCCTTTAAAGAAACTGAGTTTTTGCCACAAACTCAAATTTTCTAATCCCTTTATCTCTGCGACCGGAAGGTGTAACCCTTTGATATTTTAAACTTGGATTATTTCATTTAACATAATTCATAGTTTGAAATATCTAAGGTCTAAGACATTGGATTAAAATGATATAGGGATTAGAAATCAAATCAGAGTTTGTGGCAAAAACTCAAATCCTTTGAGAAGTATCTATCTATTTATTTGTTCTCCCTCTTCTTGTATAGCGTGGGAAGAGATTATGCTTCTACGGTTGAATTCCTAGATTTCCTCAACCCGATGATTTTATCATTAATTCCTACTTCCGGAATCTGATTGCTTGAAATTATGATCACAAACATTTCATTATCCTTATTCTATCATTTTCGTATTCTATGTCTAGCCCCACACCGCCAGAGGGGGAGAGGGGGCTCCACGGTTACCTACAAAGGACGAGACTTTAATTGACGACCTAAGAATCTTTAAATATTGCTATTTTAAGTTTAAACTTGGATTTGTGTCCTAAAGAGCTTGTACATAATAAACTGAACAAGTATTACTACAAGGAACTACAAATGTAAGGAACAAGATTGAACAAAAATGTCGTCTCAGAAGTATTAGCAATATCCTTTGTAGGTGAGCTAGATTAGGGAAGGAAGGCCAATCACAACAATTTCTCTTAGGAGCCACATTCTCCTCATTTTATCGCCCGAGCCACCTCGAAATCCTCGTCCTTTCAATATAATTTTTTTAAAGGGTCTAATCCTTCCAGTTAAAACTATTTTTTAATAATCAAGCCACGTTAGGGCATAAATGAAATATCAAATTTTTGTAAATCGAAAAAAAAAGTTTCAATTGAATTAAAGATTTCAAGTTTAATGTCTTTAAAAAAGTTCACCTTTTTTACGCGCATTTTCAGATTTCCTGGTGTAGAATGCCGCAAATAATTACCGAAATAAAGTTTGACATCATTCTCATGGGTTTGAAGATTCCAACATGATATAATCATTTCAATACTATAGTCCATCCATATTTTATGCCATAACGTGGCCAGATTTTTAACTTTTAACTCAAAATAATCAAAGGGCGAGGATTCCGAGGTCGCTCGGACGAGAAAATGAGGAGAATGTGGCTCGGACGAGAAATAGTTGTGGCTGGCCTTCCTCCCCTCGCTAGATACTTTCCAAAATTAGGTTAGAAAAATTAAAATGCCGTTGAATATGTTTTTATGTTAATGCCGTTTATAGCTTAAATAGTTAACTTGACACTTATTAATATACTAATTTAGTGAAATAGGTCTGTTTACTCTGCACAATTGATGTGTCTCAAGCGCATTGGACTTTTAAAACAAGAAAATTGCAGTATACAAACAGAGTAAACTTGCCCGTCTTCACTGTTCATCTTAAGGAGACATTATAGTCACATCTTTACAGTCTTTTACCCTTTTCCTTAAATAAACTCTAGCAGACATAATAATATTATGGCTTTTGAAATTAGGTATTACAATACTAATTCATAACAAAGACGATATCGATATCGGAACCGGTAAACAACTTTAAACAAAATGATTTTAAGAAAAATTTAATAAATCGATTATTTTAGATTATGTGTAAAATTAATTACTCCCAATGAAAAAAATGTCTTAGAAATAAATGGAAATTTCATCAATTTTATTGAATGTTGCAGATTTTAGATTATATTATATCAAACAAATATTCTTATGAAATGTATTCTGCTATTGTCTTGTTGTACTTCAATTGCACCATCCAGAGGTTTTTCTTCTTCGTTTGTTAGCTGTACCGCTGATCTTGATGCAGATCCAGATCCAGCTTGTGATTTTGTTTCACGGCTTTTATTATCAAACTGTATTTCTTGTTCAGATTTCTAAAAAGAAAAAGAAATATTTACGTGCGGAAATTTGTCTTTTAAACTTTATATCAAAAAAAGAATTTACATTCGCTATAAAAATAGCATAATTTTTTTAAACCTTCCCTTGGGTCATATTTGTAAAACTCTTATATTCAAATTGCATTGTTAAGTATAAAGAAGTTTTCAGTCTGAAATTAACAGTGTTTTTCTATAAAAAAAAATTTCTAGCCTGAGGTCTGGTTGTTTCTGTAGTTCCTTTAAATAATGTTGATTCAGATTGTTCATTAGATATTCCTAATACAGGTTGTCCATTAGATGTTCCTAATACAGGTTGTCCATGATGTTACTAATCCAGGCTGTCTATTGGATGATTGAGATCCAGGTAGTTCAGATGTTCCTAATCCAGGTTGTCCATTAGATGTTCCTAATACAGGTTGTCCATTAGATGTTCCTGATCCAGATTGTCCATTTGATGTTACTAATCCAGGCTGTCTATTGGATGATTGAGATCCAGGTAGTTCATTGGATGATTTAAATCCAGATTGTCCATTGAATGTTCCTAATTCAGATTGTTCATTGGATGCTTGAAATGCAGGTTTTCCATTGGATGCTTGAAATCCAGGTTGTCCATTGGATAATTGATATCCAGGTTGTCCATTGGATAATTGATATCCAGATTCTCCATCAAAAGATTGAGATCCTATGGATGATGGAGATCCAGGCCGTCTGTTGGATAATTGAGATCCAGGTCTTCTGTTGGACGATTGAGATCCAATTCTCCTGCTGGATGATTGAAATCCAGGTTGTTTGATAGGTGATTGAAGTCCAGGTTGAAATCCTGATGATGCTTGAGAGGGTCTAGGATCCAGTGAAGAAGGTCCGTTTGATTCTTGGACATTAGTTGTTTTTCTTGTTTCAGTTTCTTTTTGTGCAGTTCCGAAATTTACCGAACTATTCTCATTCAGAAGATTTTTAAGTTAAAATGTAAATTAGTAATAAGTATGTGTTTTGTATGCGTAAATTAACAAATAAGATAATTGAAAGAGAGCTGACAAGCGACCATAAGAGAAAAAATGAAACATTTAAAGTAAGCACAAAATGTATGTTTAGTTCAGGGGGATAGATATTTTAGAATTGGACCCCCTCCCTTAGATGTCTTATGCTTAAATTCATCAAAACAAGAGCTGGTGGATCGTGTAGATACAAAATTATATATACAGTGTACAGTATCAGATACATAAACATATAGTGATGTATACAATCCATCACCCTATCAATTTTGCTATAAGGATGGTTCGTTGTGTACATCTCAGGGGATTATGAAACTCAAGGTTATGATGCATTTAATGCATTATTAATGCTTGGAAAGTTAATTGCAGTTGCGTATACTCTATGTACATATTGAAACCAGTTCTCTCTTGGCGGAATTTGTAAACAAGAGTAGCATTATCAGTGTTCGTTTAGTATCCGAGACGAATAAAAGCATTGAATTGAGAAAATTTTGATAATTCACATAATAGTTTCCTTTGCCCAGAATATTTCATCTGAAATAACTTTCCTTGCATTATAACCTTAATAAAACTCTTTGTATCCTTTCTCTAAGATAACAATCTAATATTCTGTTAAAAAATCTCTTTTCCTATCTCTAATTGTTGTTGTAGTTGATGGTTCCACATCGTCTGGGAATATAACTGCATTATGCGGTCGTGTATTTGTGGGGTTTGTGGAAGAGAACTGTGGCCCTGTTGTGGACGTAGGCGCTGTAGGCTGCACTAGCATTAAAAATATATACATTTTCCTTAAAGGGGCTGTAGACGTATTTTCAAGTAACCTTCCCTTTATAAAATGGCAGGAACTATTCACAATGTTACGATTGAAATTTCTTTTTTCTCTCTTTAAACATGTTGGATTCTAACAATTTCCGTAATATCTTAGTAAAATAAATCCGCAAGTCACTTTTAAAGAAAAACCCAAAATTGAAAGAAACTAAATTTTCCCGAAGAAGAAGAAGAATATCTTATTCGTTCTTGATCTATCAAAGGTTTAAAGGGTACTTTTTTGCTCAGACATACTCCCATACATGAAAAGTCACTTGAACATATGTCTACAGTCCCTTTAATGATTTAATTATTTTGATAAAAGTTTACCTCGTGGACGTTGAACGGGTTGAGGAATAATTTTTACTATACAGATCAAGTTCACAGTGTGCCAACAAACAAAGAATCAAAGAGAATAGAATATATATTAGAGGGGAATTTAGAGAATCTCTCGGTATGAATTTTTGCAGTCCCTTTCAGCCTGAAAGGGAGTTTAAAGTGTACAAATCATGTAAATGTTCACAAATTATAGGCAGTAGAGTACATTAATACAGTATGTTCCCTAGACTATCCAATTCAATTTCGAGTTTTTTAAAACTGTCAAATAAACTTTATAATGAATTAGGTGAATAAAAAACATCATTTGATTTATAGTTATAACGGAAAATCATCGTTTGTAAAGTGAAAAGCAAAGAGTCTATGTGAAATGATCATTGGTCAATTATGAAACCAGCTTATTTCATAATTTGGTTTTCTTTTAATATTAATTTAAGATTTTCTATAAAATGATTTTACAAGGCCCAAAAGGTTGAATAGCATAAATATGTGAAGTACACCCGCAGTATGGAAACAATACAACAAAATGGCCGTTTTACACTTTTTTCTAGTAAATTCCTCTCTAATATATATTCTATTCTCTCTGCAAAGAATGCATAAAATGATCGAGTATGAGATAATCATTAATTTTGAACTAAAATCATGTTCTTGTCTGGAACAGAAAATTAGGATAAAATATAAATAAAAATAATTAAGAATGATCTTTCCTTCTTCATTGCATTCTTTTTCTTCAGGCTCATCTCCGAAATTAAGTGGTATTTTGATTAAGGGAGGAAGGCATTCTTCAACCAATTTTTCTTTACAAAATCTTGTGCAGAAACGACCCTGATTATTATAACTGATTATTTTGACATTTATATTTATATAATTTAGGGATTAGCAATGGTGGTTTGCATTTTAACACCAATTGCTATTTCCTCAACTTTTTATTTTTTTTTGTCGTCAAAATTACCTTCCCCCCCGTCCCCACACCCTTATCAAACAAAACTAGGCCGCCAACCGGCATAGTTTCAAACAGAAATTATTAATTAAAACCATAGGATTATTTACCATTTTAACTTTAGAAAAAATTAATTATGATACTTGCAGTTCTCGTCATGCTACATGAAAATAGTTTTAAATGAAATTTGCCATGGACACAAGAGGGGTTCTATAACTTTGATCATAACTGTAATTTCAAACCTTACACTAAGTGTAAGGTTTAGAACATTAGCAAGGTTTGAAAGTTGTGTTCTCTCCATATGCCATTTGTTGTTACTTACCAATTCTAAATATGTATAATATTCTCCACAACAAGGACACGTGAATAGACTATATCTACAAGTCTAAAATATTTAAAAAGAAATTATTATTTTCAACTTTAGATCATTTCAGGATAGCTCAGATAGATATGCAGTGATTACAGCAGGTCAATTTTATAATTATATCAGAACTTTTCTTCTCAAACATTTATCTACAGGGTGTACATTCAATAAGGTTCCACCTTACACGATACTTACAAGACATCTATCTGATGTTCCTGTCACGAGAAATTGATATAGACTCTGTCAAAATTATACAAAATGTCTATATACAGGGTGTCCCAAAAAAACGATCTTTAAGACATTGTAGCACTCACTAAGCTATGGTTCAATTTTTAAAAAAGTGTACATTTTTTAAATCTTTGGAACATTTCCGATCGATTGATATTAATGAGAGGTATGTAGCACTAAAATCAAGAAAGTTTTGACGGTTTAAAGTTTGTCATTTTGTCTTGGTTGAGTTCATATATTATTTTTTTAGAATTTTAAACATATTATGGAATCTTAGGGTCTGAAAAATATGCAAATCTTTTAAACAAATCTTAACAATGCAGTTATTGTTAAGTAATGGCAAGACCTCAGTTTACAACACAGGAAAGTAATATTTACTTGCTGTTGACTACCACAAAAGAAAAGGGGCACAGACCAAAGTTGGATTTTATAGCAAAAGTGACTTTAAAAGTCCAAGAGGTGGCTTCATTCAGACGTTTTCATTTGCCAGCATGCTGAAAGTATCAAAAACGTTTTTCAAGCCAGATACAGATTGCCAGGTCGTAAAATCATATCAATTCTATAATAAGTTTAAATTCACCAAAAGAAGAAGTATGAAGTAAGTCACGCCACCATTTGTCTAAGCATTTGTAATGGATTGGAAGGAAGCTTATATCAGATATTTCTGGCCCAATCTAACGAAATATCCTGGCAAATCAAGAAAGATTTCCTCTCATGTACAGGTGTCCAAATTAAGTGATAAGATATTTAAAGGAAGCATGGCAACAAATAACTAAAAGGCTTTTAAATGTTCACAGTGAAAATATAGGTTTACAAGCTTTGCTAAGTATCTTCAAATGTATGGATCAGCTGTACCTTTCATTATTGACGAAAACCTTAAAATCAAGCAACTTGAATAGCGGATGTCATAAAAAAATAGATAAAGACATCAGTATAATCCCTGCCCTGCCAACCTGGAAGAGAAACATCGCTAAAGAGAAGAAGAAGATGGAAGCAAACAAGAACCTTTGTAGAGTTTAGAATGTTGAAAGAGTCCATGTCTACTGTCCAGCTAGAGGGCATCAGCTCCAATTTGCAATGCCGGGTCGCAGATGTCCAAAAACAACTTCTAAATTATTTCGAAATCCGATTTTTTCGCATGGACTAGTTTCAATATAACCAATTTTAGGTAAATATGAATTCACAAGATTTTATCGCCAATTTTGAAAGCTCTAGAATTCAAAATGTATGTGGGAACATTTTTTTATGTACACCCTTTATATAAGAACATTTTGATAACCTGTTTCTTTTTCGGACTTTTATGGTTTTTATTCTAACAGATCATGCTACATTAAATTCAATTTTTATAGGATATTAATTATAAAACAATTTTTAAAAGATATTACGAAAACTCATTTATTACTTTTTTTTAACAACGAAATGCTTTGAATTGCACAAAAGAATTTTACTACACGATTTGAGAAGATCTAAGGTGGATGATTTTTTTGTACACATAAAGACTGATATATTAAACAACAAAAAACCAAACCATAGACCTCTATGCCTATGAGGGGACAACATAAGAGCTTTCATGTGAACCAGAGGGAGGGAATTTTAAGAATGTGGTTTAATTTAAATCTAGGTTTATAAACAGGTTTCAAATGCAAATTTTTTAATTTGCAGACTTCCCGAATCCAATTAAATTTTCCTTGATTATTTTTAGCATCAAATAGATCAACCTAAAGGTGAATAACAGCATATTGAAACGTTGAAATATAATGATCAATGTTTTAAAAATCTCAGATCTATTAAATCTAATGTCGGATCTTAAAAGATTTTATAAGATTAAATCAGAGCTAGGAATTAATGAATTGCGAGAAGTATTTGAACACAGCTTAAACCTTCACCATCTGGTTCTTACTTCTTATGTATCTTAGTAGCAAAAGAGAAGAAGTTTAGCTATGACCAATTGAACTATCTTTATCTCCTTTATAAATTCTAACCTCAGGCGTTATTAATTTTTCATTCAGAGGATATTTAAGTTAACCATTATACTCTGAAAACATCGACTACACTTGTATCATGATTGATATCTATGATGTTCTTAACATGTCAGAAAATCAATGTAATGATTATCTGTGCAGTGCCTGTACATTTCATGTAATTTTGTGCAGTACAATATAAAAATCATGTTATTCTATGCAGTACCCTGTAAATTTCTTATAATTCTGTGCAGTGCACTGTAAATTTTTTGTTATTAAGTGCAGTACACTGTACATTTTTTGTATACTATGCAATTCACTGTAAATGTCTTTCTATTTTGAGCATCTTGTAAACTGTGCAGTGCACGGGAAAAAAATTGACTTACATAATCAATTCTCTGTGTTTGATTGGTCCAACATGATCCACTGATAGGTTCCCTGTTGTCTATACAGGTTGGGTTCCCTAAATAGTTTCATATATATATATATATAAAGTTGAAATCTCTGTTTGTTTGTTTAGATGTCCGCTCATAAATCATGAATGTTCTTAGTTTGGTTTTGAGATTCTATGTTAACCCTATAAAGGCTGGGGGTCTAAATCTAAGTATAGCCTGGGGGGGGGCGTTTGGCGACCCCCCCCCCTAGAAAAAGGCCTTAGAGAATGGGTACGGGGTTGAAATGCATGTTCACAGCCCAAGTTTTCATGGCCAGCTCAAAAAAATTTGACCGATAACTTTAACAATTTGGGTGCTATAGGGAGGGTGGAAAAAATGCCTAAAAAAGGCTAAAAAAAAAAATTCTGTTTTAAACAAGTATCAAAGTGTGACACATTTGTCTACATGCATTTTCAAGGGCTTTTTAAATATATGGTTTTTAGATCTGTAGCTTTAGTCACAAAAAAGTTATGGGCTATTTTAGATTTTTTTTTTCACAGACCGGACTTTTTTACCGCCCTGTACCCTACCCTATAAATTTACAAAAATATGTTTTTACAAAAAATTCTTTGTAAAAGTACAAAATAATTTGAATAAAAACCTTGAAAGAAGTCTTCATATAACTGTTCAGGGGGAATTGGTCGACTAAACTGACTCTAAACAAATAAAAAATTCAGTGGCGTATTCAGAAATTTGTCCAGGGGGGGGGGGCTCAGCACCAGTTAGGACCTGAACACCATAGATTTCACTGGTCCAGGGGGGGGGGCTGAGCCCCAATAGCCCCCCTGAAGTGTTCAGTTTCTTATGCTTTTATCTTGCTTTTAGATGAATTGGGGACCCATCCCCTTACTTCGTCCATGTTTTCCCATCTAAAGAAACGAAATGGTACTTATTTACTAAAATAGTCATCTTTCAGGGAAAGTTTATTTTTATAAAAATGGTGGGAAGACCGGAACAGAAATATAATTTTAAAAATGTTTGTGTAATATGTGTATAAATATGTCACCTGTACAATTTGAAGAAATGGCAGTAGACTGCAGCTGATCACAAGGATCATGATTTTATCTGAGATAATATATATTTTGAAGAAATGCATAAGATGGTATAAGGTCTCTATCCACCTACCCAGATGTAACTGGTCGGATCATGAAAATACCTGAAACCAGTCCTGCTCTAGGTCTGCGTAAACCAGAATTAGAAGTTTGGGATTTACAAAACCAACTCGTATTCAGGAGAAAAAATCTAGAACAATATAAATTTCATGAGCAATCAAATTTTTAGAAAGTTCAGAAGACGTAACTTGGTATTTTCTATAGAAAAATTGTACAAAAGTTGACAAAATTTGGTTAAAAGGGCGACAAGCAAGATATGTTATATATATTATTAGTTCTTCATTTTTATACTGATGAAAATGGCTAGGGATATATGACAAAGGTTATGAAATAAAGTAATGAAGAAAAAAAGAAGATTTGGGTATGTGTGCTGTAAAATGTTCTTTGTTTGATATCCAGACTGGTTTAGGATCTATGGTTTTTCGTTATATGAATATGTTTTTCAATTGAACTATAGTAACCATATAGTTACTAAAAAGTATATAATGGGTAAAAAATAAATTTCATAGGATGTTTTATATTCAATGCAGTGTAAAATTTCAACGTATGGCCGAAGTCCAGAATTTTGCTACGCAGGATTTCATTTTTATTGTCAAATTCTAATTTTCATGTTTTTACGTTGACTGTATAATGAAAATATTTTAGGATAATATTGGTCACCGACATCTAGGTTGCACATTTTTGGTGGCTTAATTTGTATGCAAGCCTGTAATCGTCGTACAAAACCACAACACATTTCACAGATTTTTCTTTACTTAAGAAATTGAGAAATTGCTTGTGTTGTATATGTAAGCCCGGGGGATGATTAGTTTTCACTTCTTCTTCTGTGTATATACTTTGATGTTTGTTTGTATCCAATAAACGGCAGAACGGCTGAACCGATCGGGCCCAAATATTTGTGGGACCTCGCGTAACCCCAGGGAAGGTTTATGGATGATTGAATTTCCAAAAAGTCTCTAAAAAAATCGATTTTTGAAAATTTTGAAAATCCGTAAATTTTTGTTTGCTTTTGTTTTACAATGTATACAAAGAGAAAATGTTCACAATTGAAATAGAAGATAGAGCGCCCTAAAAGCCTAGTATTTTAAAAACAACTTGTTTTTTTAAATCTTTAAGATCAAAGTAAGAGAACCTGGACATTTCTACAGTGGAAAAAATCACAAAAGCCAACCATACAAATTTTACTTTAACAAATGTTAACCAAATTGATCGTTTATGAACTCTCGTTACGTCTTTCACTTTACGATTAAAACTAAAACTTAATCAGTTTTAACTATTATTTTTTTTCTAAGGTTTGTTTGTTTGTTCAACTAAAACGAAACGAAAAGCGAAAACGATGCCTGGGATTAATTCTTGTTTGCTGTTATTTTTCTTTGGATAAAACCAATGATTGAAATCCTTGCATAGAACCTTACTGATCCTATACCCTCACTACAGTGTTCTATGCATAGATAGATAAACCTATTTTCTCCCCATATATGAATTTACTTGTACTGAGGGTATCTTATTCATAGTTATGGGATAATACAGTCCCTCCCCTTACACACACCAGCTGCATACATGATCAACTATTATACCAAATATGAAGATACTGAATAGAGCTACCCAAAACAGAAATACTGTGTTTTGTAAAATATCTTTTATGAATATCTAATTTCTTTCCCCTTGTTTACAATATAATTTAATTGCTGCTTTAATTTAAATGCTGATGTTTAACGGGACTGTCGAAGTATAAGAGACCCAGTACAGATTTTACGAGTGCTACGGTGGCAGGCAATTATATCAATATAATGAAGACGACTTTTTAAAAGTTTTAATTGTTAACAAGCTTTTTTTGAATTACAGTTGATGGCAATTAAAGAGAAGCTTTTTTATTGACAGCTCTTCTTTGTTTCCATGTTTTTGTGTATCAATGCTGTTTATAAGCTTGATATCAATCAAAATTAAAATCAAAAGTCGTCTTCATTATATTGATAAAATCGCCTACCACCGTATGTAAAATTTATTGCTCCTTGAAAACTAAGGGCCCTATTTTCTTAAAATATCAAGGTATTTAAAAAAGTTGAAAATGAAAACTCTTATAAACGCGGCAGATTCAGAACACTATATATCTAAAAATCTAAATATGGGTCGGATAGAATTCAAGACGTAACAACTGTTTTAGTTGTTGCGACCACCTACCGAGGAGAGGAAAGGCCAGTCAGAACAATTTCTCGTCCGAGCCATTACAAAAATGCAATATTTCATTCATTCCCCAACGTGGCCAGATAAAACAAAATAGTTAGATATATCTTCAAGGACTGAACACTTTAAAACATAATAATGGAAGGACGAGGATTTCGAGATGGCTCGGTCGAGAAAATGAGGAGAATGTGGCTCGGACGAAAAGTTCTTGTGGCTAGTCTGTAAACAAGACAAAGTTATCTAGAAAACCATTTTTTTTACATAATTTCTTATTACAAGTCTAGGTCTAGGGTCTAGGGTCTAGGGTCTAGGGTCTAGGATCTACGATCTAGGATCTAGGGTCTAGAGTCTAGGGTCTAGGGTCTAGGGTCTAGGATCTAGGGTCTAGGATCTAGGGTCTAGGATCTAGGATCTAGGATCTAGGATCTAGGATCTAGAGTCTAGAGTCTAGGATCTAGGATCTAGAGTCTAGGGTCTAGGGTCTAGGGTCTAGGGTCCAGGGTATAGGATCTAGGATCTAGAGTCTAGGGTCTAGGGTCTAGGGTCTAGGATCTAGGATCTAGGATCTAGAGTCTAGGGTCTGAGGTCTAGGGTCTAGGGTCTAGGGTCTAGGATCTAGGATCTAGAATCTAGGGTCTAGGGTCTAGGATTAGGGTCTAGGGTCTAGGGTCTAGGATCTAGGATCTAGGATCTAGGATCTATGGTCTAGGATCTAGGATCTAGGGTCTAGGGTCTAGAGTCTAGGATCTAGGGTCTAGGGTCTAGGATCTAGGATCTAGGATCTAGGATCTAGGATCTATGGTCTTGGATCTAGGGTCTAGGATCTAGGATCTAGGATCTAGGATCTAGGATCTAGGATCTAGGATCTAGGATCTAGGATCTAGGATCAAGGATCTAGGATTTAGGATCTAGGAACTAGGATCTAGGATCTAGGATCTAGGATCTAGGATCTAGGATCTAGGATTCAGGATCTAGGATCTATGGTCTAGGATCTAGGATCTAGGGTCTAGGATCTAGGATCTAGAATCTAGGATCTAGGATCTAGGATCTAGGATCTAGGATCTAGGATCTATGGTCTAGGATTTAGGGTCTAGGGTCTAGAGTCTAGGATCTAGGGTCTAGGGTCTAGGATCTAGGATCTAGGATCTAGGATCTATGGTCTTGGATCTATGGTCTAGGATCTAGGATCTAGGATCTAGGATCTATGGTCTTGGATCTAGGGTCTAGGATCTAGGATCTAGGATCTAGGATCTATGGTCTTGGATCTATGGTCTAGGATTTGGGGTCTAGGATCTAGGATCTATGGTCTTGGATCTATGTTCTATGATCTGGGGTCTAGGATCTATAGATTGAAAACCAGATTTATATTCTTCCAGAGTTTTTACTTAAATTGAACATCCCATTGTTTAGTAAAGTCAAGTTTAATTTTATCAATTTATTTCCCTTGAAGACGTACTTTAAGAAACCAGTGTTTATAATACCGGACCACAGAATATTTGTAACAAGGCATAGTTTAAAAAAAAATAAACCTATAATTTTGGGTATCTATAAAAATAAAGGAGTAATCTCTGTTTGTTTGTTTGTATGTCCGATCATAACACAGGAACCCCTGGACCGATTTGCCTTGAATTTTGGTTGTGGAACTCGGAAGAGCAACGGGAATGTTCTGAGATTCTAAAGGAGTGGGTCGACTTTAATAGCTAAAGTTGTAAATTGCGACCAAGGGAGGGTAAACAGCGCAAATAACAATGAGAAACCCTTAGACCAATTTGCCTAAAATTTCGTTAGAACCATGGGAATGTTCTTTACCTTGGTTTATCAAATAAAGTTGAGCTTTTTAAATTCCAGGCAAAACTGGGTTCCCAAGCTAGTTTATTAATAGTGCACGGGAATAAAAAGGCAAAATTAAAGTTTCACAGTATCAATCAAGTTTACAATCTAGCGCTCCAGATATAGTCAATTTAAAATTAAATATTGTAGCTATTCAGTCAACTTTACAATCTAGCGCTTCAAATATAGTCAATTTAAAATTAAATATTGTAGATATGCAGTCAAGTTTGTAAAACTGGTACAATTGTTACAGGTTTAAAATAAAAGTTATGATTGTCGTAAGTTACGAAATATCTGCTGATTTTTTAACAAAGCTAAGGATGAAAATATTAAAGTTTTATATTTTAAACCAATCAATTCCTGATTGTTACTAATCTGGACAGAAACAAATGGCCCCATTACAAATAAGCCCCTTAACTGACAATGACAAAAGACAGCAGACAGTCATTTACTCAGATAAATGGATTATATATATTTCATATTGAATAATGAATAATAAGAATAAATATAGAATATGATAGAAAGATAGAAAGATGACAAGAGAAACAGATGTAAGAAAATCTTCCTGGTCTGACTCATAAGAAACTTAGATTTAAGCTAACAGTCTTTTGAATTTGAATTTGAAATGTTTCTAATTCTAAATGTTTTGTTTAATATTCCAACAGAAGAGGGAAGAAGAATCAAATTCAAATTTTCTTTTATCTCCAACTTCAATATTGCCGTGGAATCAAAATTTAGGCAATTTAGCCAGATAGATTGGCAGTTAGACAGTTAGATAGAAAATTAGATAGATATGAAGTATTGACTGTTTAATAGATAGAAAGTTAGATAGATATGAAGACTGACAGTATGATAAATAGAAAGTTAGATAGATATGAAGATTGACTGTTTGAAAGATAGAAAGCTAGATAGATATGAAGATTGACAGTTTGATAGATAGAAAGTTAGATAGATATGAAGATTGACTGTTTGATAGATAGAAAGTTAGATAGATATGAAGATTGTATGTTTGATAGATAGAAAGTTAGGTAGATATGAAGATTGACAGTTTGATAGATAGAAAGTTAGATACATATGAAGATTGACAGTTTGATAGATAGAAAATTAGATAGATATGAAGATTGACTGTTTGATAGATAGAAAATTAGATAGATATGAAGATTGACAGTTTGATAGATAGGAAGTTAGATAGATATGAAGATTGACTGTTTGATAGATAAATATACCATTTTCGAAAGTTTTTTAATGGAAAAGATTCAATGAGGATAATTTAAAATCAATCTTTTTTGTGTTTTTGTTGTTATAAACGTACAATTTGATGGTGTTGAAGTATTTTTCTAACTTAGACTATATATCTTATTTGTGTTTAAATAAAGTTATGCATTTTAAGGGTGCCACCCTAAACTAAACTTTCGGTGTGTACTTCAATGATTTACAGAATATTGACCGAAAAATTAGTAGAGTTTAGTGGAGAGTGGTGCAAAAACTTGCAATACTATTGCAGAAATAAAAGGAGTAAACTGGGTAGTGAGGGGAACACAGAAAAAAAACCTACCAAAACTATGGAGAGCATTTATAAATTGCAAATAATGTTCAAATGTTCAAAAATACGTGATCAAATCGTTCAATTCTTATTTCTTCACAAGCAGATGGAAACCTTTGATATTTCAAGACTTTAGAATTCTAAATATGAAATATTAAATAAATTGTAAAGATATAAGAATTTGAATTTTAGTTTGAGGTAAGTATTCAGCTCGTATCTTTATTCAGCTGACATGGTACTTCAGATTTGTTCCTGTTTTAACCCGAAAAAATAAGTAACGGAAAAGGGTTAAGTGGGACTAGGGGAAAGAAAAAATTTATAATTATTTATAGAAGAAATGACATTATCAGAAATATATTTTATTGAAGAATAAAAATAAATATTTTACCAAAAAAGGTTCTCTTGTTAAAGAATTTCTTTTGTGAAGTATATTAACTGTAGTCTGAGAAGTTTAATTGATAGTGGTTGGTTAGGTAGATTATACGCTACATGCACTCCCTCGGTTCAAAACTTAATTTTTCTGTTTTTCTTGATTAATTGTTTATTTTTATTTGAATTACCGTAATTATCAAAGTTAATAATTTTTCAACGCCATTTAAAAATCAAGAACCAGAAAATAATATCTTAGATAATTTATTTTTGTATCTATAAAACATGTACTAAGATAACTTGATTGAATATTATTGATTAAAAAAATGATAGTTATACAGATCAATATTTAGTTTTAATTTAGGCGTTGTTTTAAATCATTGAATAAACAAAAAAATATTTTTTGACGGATTACGATAAATATTCTTAAATTAAACCAGAAAAATCTGCTAAAAAAAGAATGAGAAAATGTAAAGAATGTGTTGTCTAGAACCAGTGGTAGGATTAAATAAAATATTTGATGAAGATTTAAAACTGTTTAATCTTTGGGAAATGGTTGAATATACTCTAAAGAGATGAAAACATTTGTGTGCCAGGGTTAGATTCAATTTATCATTGCAGGAGTTAAAGCTAGGAAATATATAGATGTTAATTTTATTGTCAAATACTGTGTGCCATATTCTGTATATCCTGTATTCAAAAGGATTGATTTAAGTTAAAGTGTTACTGGCACCCGTTCTATCCCATGCCACCTCCCTCTATCCCATACCCCCCCCCCCCCCCCTCCATCTGCTCCTCAGTTATCTCTATTAATAATTTTTTGACACCCCCTAACTGACTCATTGGCACGAAAATCCTTTTGGGCTGATTCGCTCTACTGGTTACTGCGCCAGTTTATTATATTGTACATATTACTTACCCAACACTATTCAGCATAATATCAACCAACAGTTTTAAACAGTTTTCAAAATAAAAATAGAAAACATACTTTTTCACAAAGGGCGAACGAGAGAAGTTAAGAGTGAAGTCCAATTGAAAAATCATCCATCATTTACAATATTGTCTTAAATACAATAAGTGGAGAATGAAGGGGGGAGTAAAAAAGGAAAGGGAAAATGAGGGCTGAGGTGGAGGGGGGGGGGGTGTGATATGCTAAGCAAAGGTTAAGATATTAGAGAAAAAAAAACACAAATGAATTCTGAAGTTACTGGGAAAAAGGGAGCTCTACACTCATCAGTGTCTCTTCTATTATATATATTTTGCAGACCCACTTACTTCGGCAAATTAATATGAAGCAAAATGAGGACGCACAATGGGGACGCACCTTGAATAACGTAATTACGAGGACCTACAGAAGAGTGACAAACATACATTGCAGATTAATATATATAAATTGAATATTTATGTATGTATGTAAAACATATCGTGTAACACGATATCTGTAAACCTAAACTACGTTGTACATTAATATTACCTATCTACGTAAACCTCTATGTAAAACTCATTAATTATTTGAACTGCGCTTCAAATGAATGCGTAGCATGATTAGCTTAATCATGTGATATATAATGACGTATATCTTAATTGCGTCTAGTTTAAATGTGCTGTAAATTTGTAACATAATTGCCTTAATCATGTGATATAGATAACGACGTAGAAATTATAATTACGTCTATTAACTTTAATTTGTAATATATAAACACATGGTTTGGGGGGTTTGGCATGGATAGTCGCGTGCTTGTGTCCGTATAGACATTGATAGCTGATCGTGCCCATTGGTTTGGGATTGATCGAGTACGTGCTTGTGTCCCTAGAGACATTGATAGCTGAACTTGCCCATTGGTTTGGCATTGATCGAGTACGTGCTTGTGTCCCTAGAGACATTGATAGCTGAACTTGCCCATTGGTTTGGCAGTGATCGATTAGGTGCTTGTGTCCGCGTAGACATTGATATCTGATCGTGCCCATTGGTTTGGCATTGGCATTGATTAATTAAGAGCTTGTGTCCTAGTTGACATTGACAGCTTAGCTAGTGTATGTGGTAAAATTGATAGCTGACGAGATTGTGTCCGGGTTTAAACATTGATAGCTAAGTGAAACTGAACTGTACCTGGATAGATACGGGCTCTAGAAACCTTTATGGAGTAAGGTATTTACTACATGTAAGGTATTATAAGAGATTATTACAAACTTATTATAAAGATATACAATATACATGTATATCAAGGAATTTACACCTCTGCACGATGGATGATAGATGATGGATGATGGATGAGTTTATGCAATTATTTGAATAATAGATTTGTTCAGGTATAAGGTTTGAAGTTGCCAAAGGAGGTGTTGCAGGGGGAAGGGGTGGATAAAGTGGGTAGGAAGGGGATGGTGGTGAAAGAAAAGGGAAAAACTTGAAAGAAGTAATGGTGCGCAGAAAGGTGGAAAGTAAGGGGGAAAGTTAACAAGAGTAAGGGTGAAGTAAGATAAGGAAAGAGGCCCGGAAAGGTAGATTGAGGCAGGGAAAAGAATCATAAAGGAAGAAAGGCAAAGAAGACAATGGGAAGGAATAAAAGAAGAAGTAGGAATGGAAAGTAACAAAAAGAAGAAGGATTGGAGATTGAGGCAGGAAAGGCTAGAAAAGGGTAGGAAAAGGGAGGTGGGGTGTAGATAAAGATGGGGGGCAAGGTAAGGGATAAGAAGGATGTAGGACGAGATGAAGGTAAGGATGAAAATGAAAAGGTTGAGGGGAATGGGGAAAGGTATAAGCAGAAAAGGTAGGAAGGGTTGAGTATAGTGGAGGGGGGAATTCTGAAGGAAGTAAATATGATGTATGGGAGGATTCTATGATTAATATAGGTCTCCTCTGAAATGGGAAGAAAAATACTCAGAAAGAAAAAGGGACTAAGGATAAAGATTTTTAAGGATAGAAAAATAAAATAAAATTCCAGAATTTTGGAGAAAAGGAGGCCGGTTGGATTTTCATGGATGAATGAAGGCAAACTTTTGTATAAGGAAGCAGAATTCCACACATATCATACCTTTACCGTTCTTTCTCCAATTACACCCCTCCCCCCTCCTCATCACCCCTCCCCCTCCTCATCACCCCTCCCCTATTTACATAACTGTGCCCCGACTGAGAATTTAATGAAAGTGTAAGATTTAAGATTTGCAATATAGAAATTAGACACACCCCACCTAGTTGAATTCTTCAGGCCGAACAGTTTCATAACCAGGTTTACCCACTAAAGAAAATACTTTTAAGATGACTAAGCATGATCTATTAAGACATGCATGATGAAAGAAATAGTTATTAAAATTTGTGTTCTCGACATTTTCTTAAGTTACAAAATTTTGTAACACAAACAAATTCTGATTTTCTAATTTTCATATCTTTGCAACCCTAAGATAGTTCAAACTATGAAGTTTGAAATGTCAGAGGTTTACACCATTAGGTTGCAATGATACACGTTAAAAAAAAATTGAGTTTTTTGCAAAGAAAATTTCCCTTGAACCTTTAGATCATACAGCATTTAAAGAATTTCAGGTGTACATGACAAAATAGGACGTTCAAAATTAAGTACTTTTGGAAAGGGTGGGGGCACAGCTCCCGCCGCCACCCCCAGGCATTTTAGGGTTAAAGTTTTTATTTTTTATTTTTATTTACTAACACACACAACTTCAAACATCGGAATTTCAATATTTTTTTTTACAAAACATGGAATATTCCCCCTTCAATCCTCCCCCCTCCCCAGTTTAGCCTCAAATGTACTTTATTCCGACACATGAAAGAGAAAAGGAAAGTTACGCTTATTAAATCAAAGATCTTAAAGAATTGAAATAAGGAGAGAAGTGAACCAATGGTTTGAGAGGTTGCGTGATCTACAGAACTAATAATTCAACCAAACCAAAATATATATCTTTGTATTAAAGCAGAATTAGTGTTTACACCTCTTAGAGAGATTTCTTCAATAAAAGTTGTTACATTTGACCATACTACTTTTTAAATGTTAATTTTTTTTTGGAATTTTCAATAGTTTAAAACTTTAATTCGGTATTATAATCACAATTTAAATTAAACTGCTTGCTGCACTTGATGTTACAATAATACAAATTTGGGAGGGCTATTATAAGATCTGTTTATAATGTGCTCATTGCGGGCTAATTTAGGCCATAAAACTTGATTATTCCTATTAATATCTTGGTGGATTTGCCGTATATTCCCAGAATTAGCTGAAATCCTTCACTTTAAAAGTTGGCATTTTTGAGATCAAGCCCAGTAAAGGAATTGAGTTTTTGCCACAACTTCAAATTTTCTACTTTCTATATCTCTGCAACCAGTTGGTATAAACCTTTGATATTTCAAACTTAGATTATTTGATCTAACAGAATTATTAGTTTGAAATATCTAAGGTCTACGACATTGGGTTGCCAATATATAGGGATAAGAATTTTTGAGTTTGTGGCAAAAACTCAGTTCCTTTGGGTAAGCACTAACACAAGCAAAGGGTTACTCTATATAAATTAGATTAGTTCAGAATCAGGTAAAAATTATTTTTACCAGGGTGTTTTAAAAGATGGGCAGGAATTTTTTTTTTTTGATGATATTTAAGAGTGGCACATGGGGCTTAAAGTTTCTAATTTGGCAGTTTTTGTTGCAAGTTTAAACCCCACATGTGCCACCATTTTACTTTAATGAATTTAAATTTGTAAACTTTCTATATTTTAATAATGACCAAAAGAAAAGATTGAAGAGACACTTAAAATCAACCTTTTATTCAAAGATTGCAAAAATCTCTGGGAAAGATGTGAAATAATTACATATGACAAATTTTTACTTTTGTCCAGGATATTTTCTTTTTTTAGGGTTATCAAAGTTTGAATCGAATTTTGACCTGAATAAATGGTTAAATTAGTTTTTGCTCCGCAGATTTCTATTATTATCCTAAATTGGCTGCAAGGCTGTGGGGACTATAGTTTCTATTATTGGCTCTGATACTAGGCTAGAAACATTTGGCAATCTTATCCAACAGCAATCTATATAGAGACAACATTTATACACAGAACAATACAAACTATCAAGATATCTATGTATGTATATAAATATATGTATTTAAATATATCAATATCTATCCAATGCCAAGGAAAGGGGATCACTAGCTCTAACTCCAACCCACATAACTTCTGGTTCATCCAAACAAACAAAAACCTTTAAAATATCTAACCTATAGCTCTTTCTTTGTTTATTATAATTTTGTTTATATACATTTCTAGATGAAGTGCCCGGCGCTGCCCGAGTAATAAAAAAATGGAATTCTATAAAAATTATTTTTAAAGAAAAAAATTAACTTATCTTATCCCAGGGTATCCTTGGGTTCCTTCAAAAAATGTCATCCAATTTGGTCCAGCTATGGCTAACATATCTATATATACAGGGTTACCCACGAAGGATAAGACTTCAGAGACGATTGTACGGAATTTGTTTGATCCGTTTTCTTGCATTCAGGGTTCCTTGCAGGCCAAAACTGGCTTATTTCTGTGCTAAATCATTTAGTAAACCATCAAATACTTAATTGAATGTTGAAAATAAAAATCAAGCTTCAAATTGTCATATTTTTAGGGTTTTGGGTCGTCTTTACATTCTCATCCTTTGTGGGTGATCCTGTAGACATGTATGAACGAAGAGCTTAATTATATAGATTGAAAAAAGACGTTTTTAAATAAAGTTTACATACATATATATATTTTACGAAGTTCCGAAATTAAGAAATTACCTGAGCATCATGCACAAACAAACTTGTGGCTTTAGGGTTTCAAAACTAAACTTATATTTAACATAAAGAATATAGTATGTAGAAAACAGAAATAAAGAATATAGTATGTAGAAAACAAAAAAGAAAGCAGAAAACAGAATATGTAGAATGTGTAGAATATGTAGAATATTTAGAATATGTAGAAATATGTAGAATATGTAGAAAACAGAAAAAGAAAACCTAAAACAGAATAAAGAATATAGTATGTAGAAAACAAAAAAAAAAGAAAACAGAAAACAGAATTAAAGAATATAGTATGTAGGAAAAAAAAGAAAACAGAATAAAAAGAATATAGTATGTAGAAAACAGAAAAAGAAAACAGAAAACAGAAATAAAGAATATAGTATGTAGAAAACAGAAAAAAAGAAAACAGAAAACAGAATTAAAGAATATAGTATGTAGAAAACAGAAAAAAGAAAACATAAATCAGAATTAAAGAATAACTATAAAAAGAATACAGCTTGAGTAATCTTCAAACCCTTATAAGTATTGTGTATAATCTATCAGTGGATGGGTGACAGGGATATATATTTATATAACCTGATATGGGCCGGGATCCTAAAAACCCAATCTTTCAATTTGTGCCCATTTCTAACACTCAGTGTTAGTAATGGGCCAAGTGTTAGTTTTGGAAGGGGTAGAAGGCGAGGGGGAAGGGAAGAAAGAATGGCAACGGTGCGGGTAACAGCCAGATTTAACGTTTATAATCGGCCTGTACTGACATTAATACTTATTGTTAAAACATGTAACAGGTATCGTTTAAGCTGTTTAAACCTAAACAATCCTCTAACCTGGTGTAGTTTCCATGCTAAATAAACTTCCAATGAATTCTGATTCTGAATAGGTTGTGGATATAAAATTAGTTTCAGCCTGCACTCTCCCATACACACCAGAGTACTGTACTGTACAATGGATAGGGATGAGAGTGTGGGATTTAGAGTAACTTATAGGTTTATTCCATAGTTCAGCTTGGGTTCAATTCATTTATCCTTGTTACCCATTCTCAATAAAATTGGAGTGACGATTAAAAAAAATGTAATTTTATAATAGTCTTCAGTCTACACATTCCAGAGTACGTGTGAAAATTGTTGTACAACATTTACTGAAAGTGACTTTTAAAAGAAGATGAAAACGTATTTTTATCTATGTATTTGTTAGGACCTCTTGTAAAAGATCAATGATCTCTATTTTTACTCTTTATCCCATCCTTTTTGCCTCTGCATTGAGGACATATTAGGTTAGGCCGGTCTGCCCCTGTACAAGGTTGACCAACCGGTTAAGCTTAACATACTCGTGGTAACCTATCGAAGTGCTGTTAGCCCGATGTGTTGAAACTTTGTGGCAGATTTAGTATCAGTCTAATTAGATATCAGATTTCGCATTCTGGAATTGTACGCATTCTGCACATGGACATACAATACATGTGTATATCTTTATTCACAACAGTATTCAATATTTACATTTCAAATATTACAAATATTTTGCATACGCTAACTTGGAATATATCTTTCTAAAAATAATCGGTTTTCAGCGAAAAAAATCACGAACAAAGAATGCAAGTTTTGTCAATGGGAAATACTTACCTAAGAAATTTCATTTCAATCGACCATAAGAGAAAATTGGGTTGAGTTTTTCGACCTATATTTCAAGCAAAGCTGGGTTCCCAACCTAGTTTAAGAATATTTTTTTTCGTCTTTAAAGCCTTATCCTTTGTTGGTAGCCCATATTTGACATAACCAAAAAAGAGCATATAAATTGAACCACAAAACTTTAAAATGAGTTTTTTAAAAGTTTAACATCAGTAACGGTGCTTAAAACTTTTGAAGATTTTAGGAAGGGTGAAATAGGCATGATATATACGAATACCTCTACAGACACTCCCACTAGTACTGAACAGAGTACACATGTTTCTACGATAAAAGAATATTGTTATCAAGTGAAGGCTTGACTTATACATCCTCTACATCCTCTAGGAATGTTAGAATTGAAAGAATGAGAACTATTTGTTCTAACTTCCGGACTCCAGGTAGGACTTCCGGTTTGAAATCTTATGTTATTGTTGGTGAACTCTCTCAATCCATCTTCATGGTAGGGGAGGGATGAAATATAATCTGTATATAGGTGTACACAAGGTGAAACTCCATTAGCTCTGGTTCAAGACACGAGTAAAGTTCATTATCCATGGATATTCAGGAATAAACATGAAAATAATAATAAATATGGATCCTTGTAAACTGTTCTTCATTAATATGGTGGTCAACCTACCTACCCAACCTAGTCAACCTACAGAACATGTGCATCACGAGCTAACACTATGTGAGGTCTTCTCAAATCTCTATAGTTTCAACAATAAATTTCATTACATTTTCCTTTTTATCTATTTTCAGAGCCCATTTCAGGATTTTGTAACTTTTATTTTTTACTTTCTTACTATAAGGTTCTGGTAGGGTTCATAATTCCTTCCACACCTTCTCTTAAGGTCAGAACTTTTTTGTTAATATCGTTAATCTTGAACGCTGAACTCGATCCCACCACGGGATTTCTGATATGAACTAGTAGATTAATCCGCAGAGATCTGCATAAGATGGAGATTAGCCCTTGATCCCGGGATTTACTACACAAAAATTCTGACTTCAGACCATCACGTCTTTTAAGGTTTTGGTGCAAAAATATCAAATAGATCTGTGTAATATTTGCACCAACCCCCCCGTTTTATATATCAATACAGTTGTTCCCGGATTAAAAGATGTGTCTACATATGTTTAATCTTGAATCAAAGTTTAAGCTAAAATAAAAATGCATTTAATAANTTAACTTCCTTCTCCTAAAATGTCCCCGCTACCGCCTTTTTGTTCTAGTTCCATTTAGAATTTATGGGTTTCCTATAGCAATGTATTTTATGTTTGTAGATTCAAAGGATTTTCTCTTCCTTTGAACTTTATTAGACTACACAGCCTACAGTCTTCACGATATATTTCTTTGCAAGGAATTCTAACATTTTCAACAATCTCCAGCCGTAGAATATAATTTTTCAAAAACTCATTCTACTCAGCGGAAATTGTTTTTGACATTTGTATTCAACAATTAATAGCTAGAACATTTTTGCAGAGAATTTTGAAGTTAAACCCTGTATGTCTTAAATGAAATGATCAGTTGCCATCAACTCAAATTTTCTATCCCTATATCTTTGCAATATGGTGGTGTAAACCTTTAATATCTAAGATTTTAACCTTTTATGCTAGTTTCAAATGTCAAAGCACTTTAAGCACTCCTGTATGCCGAGTCAATTAGCGCCTGATCCAATCAGGGTTTAGTCTCATTATTCAATTAGAGATATGAATCCTTGAATCGGCGCTAACAGTAAATGGAAATATTTACTTCTACTGAAATTGTGGTGTAAGAAATGTCAAAATCAAATTTTAAAAAAATTGTTGGAGCACCAGAGCCAAACTTAGTAGAACATTTTGAGCATAATTAATTTGGCTCCGGTACTCCAACATATTTTGTTGGATGAAAATGTTACATGTTACAAGTGAGTAGCAAAGGAAGTATGAGGATTAAAAAATTATACATTGAGAAATGTGATCAGTTCTAATTTTAATATAATGCTGAAAAATTCAGCTTTCTAGTATTAGACCAGTTAGGTCATAAATATATAAAGCTATTTTCAAAATGTTTAAAGTTTTTAAGTTATAATAAATTAAGCCTAACTTTAAACATTGAGGATTATTACAAACCCTATTTTATTCATTTGGGCCGTTTTTCTTTAGATTATTGAAACTTGATGTACTGAAAACTACCTATCTATCTACCTACCCCCCCCCCTCTCCCGTTTAGTTTGAGTGCTGTCATTTCTGTCATTAATCATTTTCTGCTTGAAATAATAGTTGAAATGTTGAGCTAAATATTTACCAGTTTCTCCAGCAAATATCTAGATATTTATCTATCTATCTAGATCTAAATCTTTCTACCTACTTATCTAGATCTGTTTATTTGTATATATTTTCCTAAATCTTTATATCTATCTATCTATCTACCTAGATTTAGATCTTTCTACCTACTTATCTAGATCTGTGTATTTATATAAATTTTCCTAGATCTTTATATTTATCTATCTATCTACCTAGATTTAGATCTTTCAACCTACTTATCTAGATCTATGTATTTATAACTATTTTCCTAGAACTTTGTATCTATCTATCTATCTAGATCTAGATATTTTACCTACTTATCTAGATTTGTGTATTAATCTCTTTTTTAGATTTTTATAGATATCTAGTTTTAGATCTATCTAACTATCTACATCTCTATAGTTACTAAAGGTTTACCTAATTATCTAGATTTACTAATCTATTTATCTATATTTACACCTTTCTAACCTATCTATCCAAACCAGATCTATCAAGAGCTATCCAGATTTATTCATAAATTTACTGATTAATTAATTATTGACTTATTAATGTCGTCTTCAAGTCTTCTTACACCGTCAGAAGAAATACAGGCGACATTATGCCATTATAAGATAATTTTTGTTTTCAGTGATTTGTTTTGCAAGTTATGAAAGTGAGTTTTGTTTTGGAGTGCGGATTGAATTCCAAAACGGGAAAGTGAGGTTTGTCTCGAAAACGTGACAATGATTCAAATTCAGGATACGCGACGTTCGAAAATGGAAAACCTGACATTGTCTTCAAAACGGTGAAGGGTTTTAATACAGGGTGTCCCAAAAAACATGGGAATTCAGTGACGAATTCGATATCGTCTTTTTAAATAATTCTTTGATTTAGTACAGTGATACCTACTGAGAAAGCCGTAATCTGTAAGAGTTTCGTCTGCTATGTTCACAATTTGTTTGTTTATGTTTTGACTGCATACAGTTGTACTTAGTAAAACAAGAAAATTGCAGTATACAAACAGAGTAAACTTGTCCGTCTTCACTGTTCATCTTGCGGAGACATTATAGACACATCTTTACAGTCTTTTACCCTTTTCATAAAATAAACTCTAGCAGACATAATAATATTGTGGCTTATGAAATTAGGTATCACAATGCTAATTCATAACAAAGACGATATCGAATTCGTCAATGAATTCCCATGTTTTTTGGGACACCCTGATAAACAACTTCTGATATAATTATGATTTCAGAAAATAGTTTAAAAATTGTTGTCCACGCCATGATTAATAAAATGTTGGTTATAGTTTTTATCATAAACTTGTACTCCTGATATGGGCCGGGATCCTAAAAACCCAATCTTTCAATTTGTGCCCATTTCTAACACTCAGTGTTAGTAATGGGCCAAGTGTTAGTTTTGGAACTAATGTCTTCTGAACTATCGAATGATCGAAAACATGTTGGAAGATATTTTACGTATTTTTACATTTTTTCAGATAACTCTTTCAAAAATTTGTCTTAACACTGAGTTTTGTCCAACTAAGAATGTGTGAGATATCCCTAACATAATGTTCTTAAATTCTACAAAATATTCCTAATTTTAAAAGGCTTTTAACAATTAAATTCCAGGGATTACTTCTAAAACTATATTTGTGTAGATTGATTGTATTGTATTGAAGTGTTGGGTGGTGCAGATACTGATGATGATGCCAGAGCTGTGAAAATAAATAGAAATGAATGGGTTCATTAATATACATACTGCTCTACTCATATCCGCTTGTTTGTTTGTAAAGGAGGCCGGGATGAAAGAAGTCTCACATCTTTCAGCATTATTTTCATCTTATTTAATTCTTTAAATTCCCATGAGATCTCTGATATATGAGAATATTCTAGAAAGAAAGGAAGAAGAAGAATCTTGGCGTGAACTAAAGTCTTGGATTACATTTCTAACTGAAAATATGAAGATACTTTAGCTCAGGAACCCAGCTCTGCCCGGGTTTCTAAAAGTTAATTCCGCCGTTTACAAGAAAACTAAGTTTTCGTTATTAAAGTCGATCCATTGAACTAAGAATCTCAAAAACAAGCTAAGAACATGCCCCTGGGTCCCCCGAGTTCCCATATTAAAATTTGAGGCAAATCAGTCAAGGGGTTCCTTAGTTATGATCGCACAAACAAACAGACAGTGAGACAGACACACAGATATTACAACTAAATATATAGATGAAGAGGACTGTTCACAAAATATGAAGTTATGGTGAGGACTGTTCACAAAATATGAAGTTATTATGAGGACTGTTCACAAAATATGAAGTTGTGATGAGGACTGTTCACAAAATATAAAGTTATTATGAGGATCGACTGTTCACAAAATATGAAGATATGATGAGGGCTGTTCACAAAATATGAAGTTGTGATGAGAACTGTTTATACAATATGAAGTTGTGATGAGGGCTTTTCACAAAATATGAAGTTGTGATGAGAACTGTTTACACAATATGAAGTTGTGATGAGGGCTGTTCACAAAATATGAAGTTGTGGTGAGATCTGTTTACACAATGTGAAGTTGTGATGAGGACTGTTCACAAAATATGAAGTTATTATGAGAACTGTTCACAAAATATGAAGTTGTGATGAGAACTGTTCACAAAATATGAAGTTGTGATGAGAACTGTTTACACAATATGATGAGGACTGTTCACATTATATAAAGTTGTTCTTAGGTTTTTGCGGGGTTTTTGTTACGATTTTATGAGATATTCCCTTTCT